GCCAAAATGTGTTTTTTAAAAATGTCATCTATTTTGGCACCTTTGCCATGTCACCATCTTTTGCAGCACAGTGGAGCTCCAGAATAATAAAACTGGCCTGGAGGTTTTTAGAGGGCTTAGAATTGCAACAGAGCAAGTTAAAGCAATTTCCTCCACCTCAGGTGAGTAGACATCTTCCCCCAATTGCTCTTTACCCCTTTGGATTCAGATCTTGAGTCAAACCTCAGCTCTGTCAGTTGGCTGTTGGGGGAAAATGAACAGTACAGTAAATAAAGGACAAATGAAACTCTGGTTGATTCAGTTTCCCATTTTAAATTTGTCACATCCCATTCCCACATCAATCTGTGTGTTTTTTTTTAAAGTGGCATATTTAAGTATTTGTCTGCATTTGTCCTATTTTAAATGCAGTTTACCTCATATTTGTATTTTGCAAGATATATTCGCGAGGTGTTTTTTTCCATTTTATTTTCATCACTGTACACATTTGTATACTTTTCCTCCAAATATGCACATTTCAACACTTTGAATATACCATCAAATTTGTCCTGAGAAATGTGACTTAATTAAGTTCTCATTAAAATGCAAAGAAAGTTTAGTTCTGCCCCACCTCCTGGCATGCCTTAAACATGGAGATTCCATTTCATATTTCTGTTTCCTAGCAATAGCCCAATCCGTTAGAAATTGCTCCATTCATTTTATTTATAAAATACATAACTCGCTGTCATTTATAACACAACCTCAAAGCAGGGATAGAAAAAAATTAGGCAACGTACAGTACAATAAGCCGTTTCATCAAGCACACAGACAACTCCTCTGTTGTGGAAACTGGCGAAGACTTTCATTTTTAGGAGGATATTCGATGTTTAGGGTTGTGCCTCTTTTTATCAAATTGCTGTTTTAATATTTAAACATTTTTATTGCTACTGTAAGTGCTTCTCTGCTGCTTTATTGTTTTATTTCTGTGATTTATAGATGTTCTGAGCCACCTGGAACTCTGTAAAGAGAGATATAAATATTTGAAATAAATACCATAAAGTAGCTTAAAAACTCGTAATGCAAGACCGAATGACTAAAATATCAATAGCAAGACAGAAAACACAGCACTACAAATTTAACCAAAAGCCTGGGGAAATACTTGTAGTAGTAAAAGCTTGTAAGATGTGACACCAAATGTAACTAAAGAGTTGAGACAATTCCACAACTGGGCACTGTATCAAGAATGGGCTCTCTGGTTGCTGCATAATGAATCTCTGGCAAATGTGGCACCCTTAAGAAGTTGGTTTTTCAACAGCCAGGCTGGTTTATAAGGGAAAAAAAACAGACACAAAGTTTGTAGGGCTTTATGTAACACTGATATATGTAGGAGTTGATTCTCAGGCTGATAAGGATTCAAGTAACCACTATGTAAATAATTCGCAGCTCCAAATTCCCCTTTTATCAGAGATCAGATATGTCTCCTCTCTGGAAGCCTCTGTCCTGATGTACATATAGTTATATCAGTTTTAAACTGAAAGTAGTTCACTTGCTGGAATTCTTGTATCACTACTGTTTTTACCTTAATAAAGCTTGCTAAAGAGAACTTCGGGAGATTCATGCCTGGGGAAAATCACTTTTGGTTCAGGCAGCTACCAGAAGTCTGATAATCTCTAAGATAAACTTGTACTTGGCTTGGTAGTAAACGGGTGCAATTTGTTCCCGATAGGTTACCTTCTTTAGGAGGTGAATTGCAAAGTTGTGCACTGGCTATGGCTTCCAGTGTCAGGCCCACATGCAACACCATCACATTTTGAAGCTGTGGGTGCACAGGGGTCACTGTGGCTAAGCTCCACTTAACTGTTCATTATGGAGTGTTTGACAGATAACTATCTATCTATCTGTGGTAAATATTCTCCCTGATGTGCTGATTTCTCTTTAAAACAATTGGAAGAGGCTCTGGAGGCACATACAGTCATCTCCTGTATACATACATACACGTCTTGAAGCAGGAGAACCTCGGCACACGACAGATAGATTACTTTACCTAGATCCTGTACTTAGTTATCATCTGGGTTTTAGTGTGGAATTTCCCACTCAAATTTGTCTGTGCTACATTCTGCCTGGCATAGAATCCCTACATTGCCTTTGGGGTAAAGGATAAAGTTTTATTCCAGAAATATGGACAAGCCTTCTGAAGCTCTCTCTCTGTAGGCTTTTCATTCTTCTCTACTATTTCTTGCCTTCAGAAACATGAGTTATTCCATTGCATCTCTTTTGTCCTGTTTGTATGAGGGGCACTCTTGTCCGATTTAGATTGTTCATTGTTCTCTCTCCCTCCTTCTGCTCTCAGCAGTCCTAATCTAACCCATGGTGCACAGTTCTGCCTTCAGTGGCTTTTGTGCGCTCTCCCCTCCCCACTCTTTGCTTTCTCCAGTCTAAGTGACATAACTTAAAGCAACTCATTTCATGAACCTGAACAAGAGAAGATCCTCTTGGCTCACAGAGCAGGATATGCAGTAGTATTGGGAACAGTATAATTTTCCCCCCAAGTGGTAGCTTATGCTGGTTAATATTTATTGATTGTGTGTGGTTTATGTTTCTACATCTCTATTCATACTCTCAGGGTACATTTATTTGCTCTCTGAATATTGCTGATCTTGCAACTCAAAGTGGAGAGTTGATGATGAAGAGCACATAAAAGGTCAGGGGGAGAGGGTCATGTTTCTGAAGGGTTGAAGCCAAAAGCCAGAGCCTTATTAGTGGCTGGCTGTCTTGTGCCCCACTAAAGTTATCCCAGTTGCTATCATATATCTAGTAGATTGGCCAAAACCCAAGGGACTAGGAACCTATCTGGAGCTGGCAGCTGGAACAGGCTGATGGAATTTAATCCATGCCATAGTATTTTAAGATAGAGGCAGTTGTGGTAGTAATGTAGGTACATGCAACAGCTACTGGGCTAAGAGGGGATCTGACAGCAAAGGAAAGAAGCAATCAGAGGAGATGGAGAAAAAGGCTTGATGGTGCCTAAATGAAAAGGTTTGGCATGGACAGAAAATAATTAATTGAATTGAAAAAGATTTAGATAGAAGAGAATGAGAAACTTGTGGTCCTCCAGAATTTGCTGCCATCACTCACTATTCATTCTGCTCACTGGACTGCTGGGAGTAGTCATTTAGTGGCATATGGAGGGCCACAGATTCTCCATCCTAATTTAGAAACCTGCTCTGAGCCAAGGGATTGCAAGGTTGGCAGTGAGAGTCAGGGTATGGAAAGACCTTGTAACAACAAGGCAAGTTGGAAAACTAAGGCTTCTCATATAATCTAAATGGTGAAATTTCAACCTCTAGAGGCAATTGCAATTGTCAGTCATGCCATGCAGAAGAGACACCCCTGAGAAGAATGGCAAACAGTTTGTTTCCTAAATCGGTTGTTGTGTTTGAACTTTAATTGAAAAGTCTGAGCTTCTCACTAGTAATCCCTGAAAACATCTGGGTCATTTTGTTTAACTGTTGGCTGTTTGAAAATTTAATGAATTTTCCACTTAAGGTTCATTTTGGCCCAGCATTAATACATTATTATTATTTCGGTCACCTTTTGCCATTATGGGTTAAAAAAGGTCTTTGATGTGGTTTCTTAGTTATTTCCACTCCCTACATGTGCTTCTCTGCATTCCTATAACTTGGCATGTGTTGTGAATAGCTTCCAATGTACATTAGCAAAGAGAGGAACTGATAAGAGGGGAGTCCCCCTTAGGGTTTCTCTTTGAAAGGGAGTAGTTAATGAGGTCAGTCTTCTGAATCAGCTTGATATATGGATGATGGGAGGGGGTTGTCTTTGTTTTTTGTTTTGCACTTCTTTGAGGAATTCACATACTTGCACTGTCCTTGCGTTGCTCTCACCCCTTTTGCTCTCTATAGTGCTTAGCAGATATGAAAATTCAAATGGATTGTCACAGATTCAACTGGATTTGATTGATCATCCCAAGAGTTGTATTCCTGGAGAAAGTACAGTATAGGACTTCAGATTTTCACCCCCCTGACTTTCACATACCTTCGACTCCTCTGGAATGCATATTGCACAGAGCTAGTTGATTGAACATAATAGGGGAAATGCAGTAGGTTTTTATTCAACTAATAATGTATGTGTAATGTATAGAGTATGGAAGAGAGATAGTCTCCTCAAAATGGTATCACCCAGGTAAATTCTTTAGACTCTTTGCCTATACAGGATTATCTCTCATCCTTCATCTCTTCAGTTTTCCAAGCTGTTGGGAGTATTTATGTATTTTTAGGCAAATCCTAAAAATATGCTTGACCCAAGCTGCTTCTGGATGATCTGATGGTTAATTTTAATGCTATTTTATCTGCAGCTGTTATGGTTATGTCATATATATTGCTGTATGAATGTTTTGTTCCCTTGTAAATGGTTATTATAAGGCTGTGTATTATTAACCCTGTTTAAATTCATCATCACCTAACTCCAAGATGGAATCCTCCAGATATTTTGATACTACAACTGTTAGAATTCCTAACTGCTTCTATGGAACAAATTTTATTTTCATAGGAATGGAATCCATGGGTTCAAATGATAAGACTATTTATTTATTTAAACCATTTATATAGCCACGCATCTCACCAAGATGATTCTTGGCAATATTCAGAATTAAAAATGGATTTGGGCTAGGTGCTAGGAACAGCTTTCTAAAAGTAAGAGCTGTTGACAGTGGGATGAAATGCTTCAGAAGGTGATGGACTCATTTTAAGCAAAGGCTGGACATACAGTTTTCTGGCAGGTCCTCATTTGAGTCTCATCCATGGAAGAAAATGCAGTATTTTTCAGCCAGGATCCAGGTAGAACAAGAGACAATTTCTGAGGCTGTCATTTTAGTGATGCTGATAATTGCCACTTTTTAGGCATTCTGAGCAAAAACTTCTTAAAGATAACATACAACGTGCCATGCAATAAAAGGTGTGAAAGAAGTCTTCAACACATACCCTCTTTATTTCCCTATTTGTTCACTTCAGCAGAGTTCCACCAACCACCATGAGAGCAGTAAAGAATCCTCAGAGGTCATCAGGTCAGAGGTGAAAGGCAAAAGATCTTCAAGCCATGGCACAAGCCACAAAACCAAGAAGTCTGGAAGTGGGAAAAGCTCAACGGGTTTTGGCTCATCCTCGTCCAGTGGAGCATTTCCACCAGCAGGTGAAGGATATGAAGGAACGGGAGAATGGGGAGGGGAGGGTATCTGACTGACATACTGAATTAGCCAGGCTTTTCTGAATGATAGGCAAGTCTTTTGAATGGTAGGTGAGTCTTCCTTGCCCTTGGCCCCTCTTAGGGAGTTATTAATTCCCCTCCTTCTGCTGTGTATTGACCAGAAGTTAAATCCAAGCAGCTTTTCTATTTTTTTTCAAACTTTCTAACACTTAACAGATACAAAGTTAGGCTTCAGGGATTCTTGGCAATCCCAGCAAAATTGCAGATGTTAGGGTGGATGGAGTAGAGCTGGCCAGTGGATAGAGGTCAGATTTCCATATCTTGCAAAGATATTTACTATCTTATTCTCTGGTGACTAGCAGAATCCCAATGGATGATACAAGAAAAAGCAAATGTGTATCAATTGTATAATTCAGCTGCACTTGGCCATGTCATTTTATTTCTTCATTTTTTTTAGACAATTAGTCCCTGATTGCCATTCTCCTTTCTTTGAGCAGTGATAGTGTATTGATTCAGGATTGTGGATCAAGAAGTCTCGTTGCTCTAATTAGTGGTTTTAGGCAAGTGATTATTGCTCTCAGTTTTAGTTCCGCATCTATAAAATGGAGATAATGTGTTATATAAGTAGTAGCAGTAATAGTAACTTTATTTCATACCTATAACTAAGTGCTTTATACAGTACAGATTACAATGTACCATATCATATGCAACAGAAAATGCAATGTGCATTTAAAGTCCAATTATTCCTCCACATAGTATAGCAAGAATAAGCTAACATTTTAACTGGCACAGTACACTCAGCTTGATACCATAAAAATGGTATAGTAAGACCAACATCTAACATCATATACCTCATTCATTCCAAACATTTCCCATCTCTACTATAGGTAGTCCTTGTTTAGGGACCAGAATTGGGACCAGCAACTTGGTTGTTAAGCAAAGTGGTTGCTAAGTGAAACTGCAATTTTGCTTACAATCTTACTTCAGCTTTCCTGTGCTTTACAGACCTGCGAAGGTCGTAAATGCAAGGATTGGTCATAAAGTTACTTTTTCATCACCGTTGTAACTGGAAACAGTCACTAAACGAGGACTACCTGTATCTGCCACAAAATAGTAAAATAGACCTAACTATATTATTAGAACACTTCAAGATAGAGTTTACTTATTATACATAATAGAGATAAGAGTATCAAGGCCCATGAATGGAAATGTATACAATTACTCCAGAAAAGCTAATTTTTAGTTTGGAAATGGGATGAGGAATTAGGTAGCTCCAATCTTTTAATTGTAGCTTTTAATTGTGATGAGTAGACAGGCACTGTTTGGAATCTTTTACTTTATAAAAGACAAGCTGAGAGATATGTGATAGCTGCAGCTATAACACCTCTTCTCGGCTCGCTGTAGGTTTCAGGATTTTTCTTGATCCCCTTTCAGGTACCTCATGCAGCTCCTTGCCCTTCTCCCAGGACTTTGTAACCTTTCCGAAGCTTGAGCAGCAGCAGCCTGAGGAAGAGAAATACCACAAGCCCATCTCTTCATCCTCGTCTTCCGCCCACTGCTCTCCACTGTATGAAGGGCAGAAAAGTGATGTCTTTGAGCAGAAGGTGATCTTTTCAGGTTTTGGCTCCATCATGCGTTTCTCCACCTCAGCCGTGAGTCAGCAGAGGGGACGGGATGCTTCCCCTGTGGACTACAAGGCCTCCAACTCTATTGGTGGCACCCCAAGTGGGAGTGTTGGAGTCAGCAGTGGCAGCAGCCACAAGCGCATGCCATCTCTTGGTGGGGAAGAGGTAGAAGTCCTGAAGGAAAAAAAGCACAAGGCCAATAAGAAAAGCAAGCATGGACCAGGAAGGCCCAAAGGTAGCAAGAATAAAGAAGTGCCAGGTACCCAACTGGTTGGGACTACAGCTACCTCCTCTTTGCCTTTCTCTGGGGGGTCCCTGGTCAGCTCCAGCATCAGTGGCTCTTCACGATCATTCAGCCATGCGACCGCCCTTCCAAGCCTCAGCCTGGAATCTCCACTTCTGGGATCAGGTAGGTAACATATTTCTCCTCTGGCCTCTGGCCAGGATGCTGCATGTTTGGTTGATTCGGGCATAGGATTTGGGATCCTGAGAAGATGAGATATGAGATGACATGCTGATATGCTTAGTAATAAGAATTATTTTCCTCCAGGGTGAACCTGATTGCAAAACTCTTGTTAAAAGTGCATACAGTGGCAAGATTACTTTATTATGTTATTACATTTATTACTACATTAATCCATAATGCGGTTTGTTTGGTCTTGGCTCAGTGTGCCAAGCTTTGTAAACCATGATTGGTAGCTTATATTGTTGTATGAATCTAGCACATAGTGGTTTAATCTCAGGAACATTCTGTTTCTTCTAGCATAAAATCATGATCTTTGTTTCTGTGATTTGGATTGTAATTGCCCAAGTCAACAGTACTGTGCTTTCAGTTTCACTTGTTCTTGTAACGCCATCACACCTCTAAACTGGGGGAAGGTTATCCGTGCCCATGCTAGTGATATCACTATGTCACATCATATATCCCTATTGCCATTGAAGGCTGAAAATAATTTAAAAAAAAGAAGTTTACACACACACACACACACACACACACGGAACAAGAAGAATTACCTATGTCTTACTAGCTGAGAAGTGCTTCTTTTCCTTTGCTCCAGGTCTAATTACAGAACTTTTCAAAGTTCCTCAGCTGTGTTGGTTATTGTTCATGTCTATAAACCCATTGATCCTGGACTGTTTGCTTCTAGGCTTATTAATCATGGCTATCTGCATTTCTTAACATGAAATGAGCTGTTTGCTAGGCAATCAAATAATTCTCTGATGAATGATGGGTTATAACATGGGTGCTAATGTCCCCCAGACACTACTGCCTTTGTAAAGTAGCTTGAAGGGGAGGGGTGTTACCTGAATGAAGTTTGCAGATTCTCCAGATTTTCACATAGTTTGCAGATTCCTCAGTTTTCACATAGCTTTTCTCACTTGACAAAGAAGTTCAGGAGGAGATGGTGAACAGAAGTTAGCCAAATGTACAGTATGTGAACTTGCCAAATCTACAGGATCTGATTGATTTTCCAGCACCACATCACATTTGGAGGTGCATTGCCTCAGCCCATTTTTTTGTGAAAGGAAGCTAATATCAAACTATTGGTCCAAAACGTTTGGTTTGAGAGTTGGCAAACATTTGTTTTTCCAAGGAATACAAGTTTGACAAAAATCACACATTTAATTAAATGCAAAGTTTGCTATTGTGTGCTTACCTCCTTGAACAACCATGGTCAGGAATATTTCCATGATGTTTGTGTGATCTCAACACCACCACCCCAAACCCTCGTGTGTCCCCCCCAAAGAAGCTGCTATAGGCACCAATAGCAATTTCCTTCCTATGTGAAATACCAGCAAGAGAGGGTGATTTTTATTGGGGGGAAAGGATTAATCTCACCCCACCCCACCCCCACGTTTTCCAAATCTAGAACAGGGCTTTGATCTTTTAACTTCACAGTATCAAACTCTGTGCTGAGCAAAATCTGTGTGTGTGTATGTGTGTCTATGTATTTATATATATATTTAGATTCGCTTCATGCTAGAAGTAGAAACCTAATTTGCAGCCAGATAACAAATGGCTTTTGCTTTGTAATGAATCTGGATTTACAGCGGTGCTTAAAAGTTTGTGAACCCTTTTGAATTTTCAATATTCCTGTATAAATATGACCTAAAACATGATGTGTTTTTCACACTTAAATGAGATAAAGAGAACCCAATTAAGCAAACAAGTCAAAAACATTATACTTGTTTATTTATTTATTGAGGGAAATGATCCAAAGCTATCTGTGTGTGGCAAAAGTATGTGAGCCTTTGCTTTCAGTAACTGGCGTGCTGCCCATGGGCAACAATAACAGCAACTAAACATTTCTGATAACCATCTATCAGTCCTGCACATCGGCTTGGAGGAATTTTAGCCTATTCCTCTTTACAGAATAGTTTCAACTCAGGTACGTTGGTGGGCTTCCTCACATGAACTGCCTGGTTCAGATCCTTCCACAACATTTCTATAGGATCAGGGTCAGGACTTTGACTTTGCCATTCCAAAACATTAACCTTCTTCTGCCTTAATCATTTTTTGGTTGTACAATGTGTGTGTTTTGGGTCATTGTCTTACTGCATAACCCACTTTCTCTTGAGCTTCAGTTCACAAACAGATACCCTGACATTTTCCTGTAGAATTTGCTGGTACAATCCAGAATTCATAGTTCCATTAATGATGGCAAACCATCCTTGTCCAGAGGCAGCAAAGCAAGCCCAAACCGTGATACTGCCACCACCATGTTTCACAGGTGAGATAAGGATCTTATCCTGGAATGGAGGGTTTGCCTTTTGCCAAACATAACACTTTTCATTCAAGCCAAAAAATTCTACTTTGATCTCATCAGTCCACAGAACTTTCTTCCATTAGCCTTCTGGCTTATCCATGTGGTCTTTTGCAAACTCTACATGGGCAGCAATGGTTTTTTTGGAAAGTAATGGCTTTCTCCTTGCAACCCTGCCATCCACACCATTGTTGTTCAGTGTTCTCATGAACACTGACACCAATGGAAGAGAGGCCTTTAGTTCCTTAGATGTTATCCTGAGGTTCCTTGAGGCCTCCCGGAGTATTATATGCCTTGCTCTTGGTGTGATCTTGGTTGGTTGACCACTCCTGGGAGGGTAACAATTGTGTTGAATGGCCTCTATTTGTACATGATCTGCCTGTCAGTGGACTGGTGGAGTCCAAACTCTTTAGAAATAACTTTGTAACCTTTCCAGTCAGGTGAACATCAACAACTGTTTTTTGAAGGTTCTCAGAAATCTCCTTTGTTCAAGCCATGACACACTTCCACATACCTGTGTTATGAAGGTCAGACTTTGATAATGAATACAGTACCCAGAATTCTGTTCTTTAAATAAGGCAGGATCTCCCACACTCACACCTGATTATCATCCCATTGATTGAAACACCTGATTCAATCTAATTTCCCATTCAAATGAACTGATAATCCTAATTCAAAAGGGATCACAAACTTTTAAGTACCACTGTAGGATGACATCCATCTGTATGTGATATTTTCATTGTTTTAATGCTTTTTATTGATTGATACTAATTTTAATTTTGAAAAATTAGCTGAGATTCTCAAAAGCCTGATTTGTGCTTCATTGCCATTTTTCTGGTGCAAAATCTTATGCATTCAATTTCTTCCTTTATTTCAGTGGGTCTGGCTGCCAGGTAGATCCATATAGGATTGCAGCCCAGTTGATATGACTGCTGTTGATCTTTTTCAAGCAATGCCCGCTGCTCCTCCCATATCCTGACCTATGTTGAAATTACATATTTTCTTGACCCTTGGGAAACTAAAGAAAGTAACATGAAAAATAAAAATCACTGGGGTAACGAACTCAACCTGTTCTTGTGAAGTTTGCAAGAAAGAGTTAAGAGTGAAGAAGCCCAAGGCTGAACATGTTTGGCAGCTGCTTTGCCGATATCTGGCTTGCTCTCAAACACTTCTATTCAGGTCACAGTAAGTAGAAAGAAGAGAGAGAGGCGGGAGGACTTGGACTTTAGCATCTCTCTGGTTTCCTGGTGACAGCAGCCTTTTACTCTCTCCACTTCAGGGTAGGGGAGGAGCCAAGGAAGAGAAGGAGAGAGAATTCAGGATGTAATTATTTTTCAGGGTGGAGCTGTTACAAACCACAAGCCTTCCATAATCTCAGCCTCTGGCAATAGATTTCCTCCCACCCCCCTTCTTTTCCCTCCCTCTATTGTGTTCAAAGGAAGAAAGGCTTTTTATGTGTGGTGGGTCCGCCTGACAACAACCACAGTCCTGATTTTTGACACGCATTATGCTGGCCTCTGAGTGCAGAAGCCTCAAGGAAGGCCAGCTCCCGGATGACTGAATCTCTAGGCCAAGGCTTGTTTTTAAACTTATCTGTTGCGTGCAGAGATTGCAGCTGAAGTAGAGTCCAAACTTGCACTCTGATTGGACAGATCCCACGAGAATGCCAGAATCCATTTAAATGGAAGTGAAGATGGGGCAGATGTTCTTCTGCTTGCCAAATTCTTCTCATCTGGTTTACTGTGTAGGCAGGAGCCATCTGTATGGGCAGAATATTCGTTATTTCAAATCTGTACAGACAGAATAGAGAAGGAGGTGTGGAAGATGCTTGAAGAAATCTGTCTCAGTCTCAGTTAAGAAAAGTGCCTGAGCGGATGGGTTATAATAATTGGGACTGTTCACTGAATCTAAAGACAGTTGATGTAAGAGAATGTAGTAATCATTAATTGGGTTTCCTAATAGCCCAATGGCCTAGGTTTTTCCCTCCAGAAAATTGCTGCTCGGAGCTGCCCCTCAACGCATAAAGTTATTGCCTCCCTATGTAACAGGTATGGACAACGTGTGTGGAACCCCAGTTCCCATCAACCCTGGGCATTTGAGCCAATGGTGATGGCTGTTGGGAGCTACCTTCCAGCAACACCTGCAGGCATTTGTTGCCTCCAGATATGAATGTCAAAATGTTGAGGGATGTTTCTAGTATGTACAGTACATATATGTATGTACGAAAAATGTATAAAGTGGCTTGGAAGAGCATAAAACAGGATAATCTGTTCAGTTCTTTGGATGAAATGGAATATTTTGAATTAGTAAAAACAGCACACCCTAGTTGTACTAATTTTTAGAGGGGTAGCTCTAATAGTAAAAAACAACGAAGACTTGTACACTGAAAGACAAAAGGGATTTTCATACCAGTGTTTTGCATCACAATTAGATCTCTCAGTCATATCTATTTTGGGATTTCTGACTGATGCAATTTATTCAAAACCATTGGCAGGTTGGTATTTTCCTTTGAATTCCATTGTGGGTAGTCTGTACCCTCATTGGTGAGAATTCCTGTTTCTTCCTGGCTCCTGGGCTCAGGACAACAATTACTTATCTCTGCCACCTGCACGGATTGGTGGGAGTAAAGAGAGTTTTCAGTATA